TTCGACATCAGAAAAAGTGATGTGTAATATTTTGTGGTTCCACGCGAAATTTGCTTAGTGGTGATATCTCTAGGCAGTCCTGTGAAAGCATAGGTTGAATGGCGGGATACGACACCGTAGTCTGGTGATCGTCTCGTCGAGATTGGCTCCAATGTGACTTCCATTATAATTTTAGGCCATATTCACCGTTTTTTTTTACATTTGAGCGCGCCAAGCTGACTAATTGATAGACCGATTCATATCTTGACTATTACAAAAAGCAATAGAGAAAACGCGAGTGGACACAGAAATAAGTTTAGGCCCTGTCTTTCTCGACAAAAAAAAGGTCACAAGTTATAAAATCCAGGGGTATGACGCAATTGTAGGTTTTGACAGGGAGTATTATTTATCTTCATGGGCTTGTACACTTGTATTCTTTTTTGACGTTATTTTTTGTTTGTCCACACCGGTGGTCTCACGGTGACACTGCTCAACTGCTGACCCGTCTGTCGAGGGATCATATATCCCTGCCGCAGCAGCAGCTTTATTTTGATAGATGTGAAGCTTACACGGTAAAGAACACCAGGCCATCAAAGTTTTCCGGAGATTTTGAGTACGGCACCCTTCATATTCATATCGCGGTTTTGGGTAGCAAAACAGAGCAGTAACCATTTCTAAAGACGATAGTCTTTCTTGGGGACCTTCGACGCCAAAATAATTATCTGCCTGTCTTTCTGTCTGTCTGCACACTTCTCTGTTTGTCCGTGGTAACGATCCCCCATAATGGTACTAAACTATACCTCGAACGGCCAACCCCATCCGCAGCGCTCACCAATATTGCTCAAGTTTCGGCGTTCATACTTGTGTGATTGGCAATTAAACATTTGGCTCCGAATCTGCATGTAATCTGCAAATGTCGTCGAAAGACTATAGTCTTCCGTGTGGAAAGAGTGAACAAAACATTTATTTGATGTTCTGTGCAAGAAAATCGGTGAATAGTATTCTGGAGACGCTGCGTTAGAGTGCCTTGAGCGTGCAGCGGAGGCGAACGAGCACATCAAGTCACGTCACACGTGAGACATGAGCGTCATCTGGCAGTTTTCTTTAAAAACAAAGCGCGCGACTCAGAGGTGATAAGGCGTAGAACGCAAGGCGACGGGTAGGTGCCACCACCGTGTCGTCTTAGCAAAGCGTTGAAAACACTCGCCTCTTCGTGCAAGCGTTGCATGGTATGCGAAGCGTGATAAACGCAATGATCTTTAGAATTACTTATGTATGCCTTTTCTAGTAAAAGACGCACATACAGAATATATACGTGTTTTTATGGTGTCTAAGATATGTGCAATAATTGTTTTTTAATTGACAGTTGCACAAGCATGAACACTGAAGCTCGAGCAACATTGATGGGCGCTGCGGATTGGGTCGGCCATTTGGGATAACGTCTGGTGGCGTTCAAAGTACCCGGTACCGTTACGAGTGGACAAAGAGACAAAAGTACAGACAGACAAATGAAAATTTCTGCGTTGAAGCTCCCCAAGAAAGACTATCGTCTCTAATGAATATGCATGTCCGCTTGAAGTACGTTCCACAGAGCAAGTGCCACACAGGCCTCAGTGCTCATTTCTTGTCACTGCAGATAAAATCAGTTCTCATTAGAAACAAAGGTAGAAAATAGACTACATTCGAGCAAAGACATGAAATCATTGCCCGATTAATCTGTCGTATTCTCAGCCAATAACCCCAGCGGCTTTGATATATTCACGCGCAGCGAGAAGTAATTGCTCATGGGGAATGAAATAAAATAATTCTTCAACATCACAGCAGCTGTACTTCCACCTAATGCAACAAGCAACGTTTCGTGTGCTGTCATTTGCAAATATCTTAAGTTCCAAAGACACGACATATTTTGCTACTGTCCAGGCTACGCACAGGGTCGAGAGGAACTGATGTGGGTCTTCTATTGCGCGAGTTGGTAACTGAAATTTTTTAGGAGATATTGTCCTTTACCAGATGAAATATTTTTCTTGGCCTGGAGGTAGAATGGCCACTATGGTTTTGGGAGAAGCTTTAGCCTCACTCAGCCCACCTGACTAGACACACGATCGTTAGGCAGTCCAGCGCAACAGACCTGTATATGCGCACCTCTTTCTCTTACCATTGTCATTCATCAATCTTGTTCCCAGTACCTCTTCCCGGTCCGCCTTCCATGGTTCGGAGCAGCAGGCCAGAGCAGGCCAAGCTTGGTGGACATTCATGACCTTCTATAACTGCATTTCTCCAATGCAATGAGTGCCTTTTATCTTCGCATGGTCGTACCTAACAAAGTCACACCCGTCAATCGATACTGCTATGTCAGACTAGTCGGAGTGCATCATAAGTTTAAACATATAATACGATTCCCATCTTCCTTGTCGGTGTACCACTAAAGCACAGCATTCTCAGGTGGAACGTCAAGCACTTTGACACAAAGCCCACCGCGTACACCAATTGATTTATCGAGGGAGCATTCGGAGGGTGATTACCGAGCATATGGACTATGTTCGAATGTCTGTCACGCTTGTAAAAAGGCTATGTGTGCCTTATTGCATTGTGCGTGCGCATACTAGGCTCTCACGACATGCGCGAAAATAGCGAATCAACTGGAATTGTTTATGGATGTGCGTAGATGTGGAGCCAATGTAGTGAGGCCATACACGTCACACGAAATGTCAGCGGCATCGCTTACTTCATAAACGTGAACATTAATGTTGGATAAACTCTGGCACAGTTTAATAATCAATAATGGATTGGGACAGAATTATGGCATGCATAGAAGAAAATTGTCTTATTTTGTTGAACTTTTATAACGCCAAACAGCCAACAGTAGAAAAGGCGTTCGCTTTTATTTTCACGTTCGATTTGTTATCGTAAAGGACTCCATGAAGAAGCTCATTCAAAACTTCAATATAAGTTATTCGTCAATCTTGCGAGAATCTTGATGGTGATGTCTTTCCCTGCAACGTTGTTGCTGCGCGGCATCGGCGCAGCGTGTATCGTCTGCTTTTCAGCGTTGCTCAGCATCTAGATAGGCCGCGGAAAATGCGCATTTTATGACTACCGTAACACTTTTTTCGCATTGTGTTTTCGCAAATTCAGCATTGCATAGGCTAATAAGCGTTCTATCTAGTTTTAGGAAGTTACTCTAACAAAATTCAATGTAGGTTTCACGGAAAGTGTTCACCTTCTACATTTGTTTCACACGGCAGGCACAATACATCTATTTGATTCAGATATAACCATACTCAGCAGGTGCGACTGTTTTGAAAGGTATAGGTATGTCAGAGATGGACGATAAAGAGATAAAAGAGTGCTTAGCGATTGCTTCGTACGCTCGGCTTCGTAGCAAGGGCATAGCCAGAAATTATTTTCGGGGGAGCACCATCTTGGCCTCAGGGGTGGCAACCCCTTGAAATGGTATTTTTTGCTCTCTATGTCACGTCGAAAAAAGTTTCGGGGGGCTCGGGGCACGGGCCTAATGTGCCACCTCCTGGCTACGCCCCTGCTTCGTAGTGTGGGATGTATTTTGTTCAATACACGTGCATTTTATGGCGATAAGTCGTACGTGGCATATTATCGGAGAGAAAGAGAGAGAGATAAACGGGGGGTAGAACTTCTTTATTAATATTTTCAGTTGAGCTAAGAGCATGACAGAAACTTTTAGTACGGGTACTTTAGGATGATTCCGGCAATGTGTCGAGCCCGCTGTGTATGACTCGGAGTACCGTCACGGGGGCATCATCCCACAGATCTGTTTTGCGTCGAGAATAGAGGAGCGTAGGCAAGAGAGAAAAGAAGCTTGCGGGCACTCGATCGTTACACAGAACACTGATGGTGACCTGTCAAAGCCACGATAACATCCTTCTTCTTGCCAGAGTTTATCACAAGCCGAACAACCACATATTTCTGCTCATTTATTCAGTTATGTTAAGACACTGCTACATTTTGTTGAACAAGACCATAACGACCTAGACTGCTGATGGTGCTTGTGAAATCGAAGTTATCTTTCACTTTTGAGTGAATCTTTGTAGGCGTGCACGCAGTGATGCGTAGTTTATTTCTATGCCCTACATCTACACTTGATTGCAGGCTACAAAATGCAGGGCAACCAAAAGTGCTAGCAGCAGCAATACTGTGGCTAGAGTCATCTAGTGACATCTTCAATCACACAATGGACTAGCAAGCTTCAGAAGCATTCTCATGCACATGCCTGTTTTCGCTGAAGGCAAAAGAAAAAAATTAACTGAGTGTAAACAATTACCTCGCGCCTCGTGCTTTGCACGAGCAGCAAAAAAAAATCGTCGGCCCTTTGTGACAATACCTGCACGACCACGATAGTCATGTTTTCCGACACAGAATGATGCCATCCATAAAATTTTATAATAGTAGACTGAAGTGGCACTGTTGTCTATGGGCGGTGCGACACATGGCCGATCAGCAAGCATGGGAAATTTAGGTACTACGCAGATTTGTTGAAGCTTCTTTTTGTAGGCTCTGAGTGGCGTCATGAGACCTGGAGCCACACTGTTGCAACTCGAAATTTATCGAACCTTCAGCAGTCCTACTTCACCACCTTCACCCGTCCAGGCGTGAGAATTCAGGCGATATCACTAGCTTCACTTTAAGTCATTATTTTATTTGAAACAAGCGTAAACACAACAGGGAACCAAGCTACGAGTGTGTTGAAACCTACAAGCTCATAACATTGGCAAATACTTGCACCAAGCATGTATTCCTATTGTGGCTGAACAATCACAATGCCAGAGTTCTGTCTAATAAATATTGTAGGATACTGTCTGGTGCTAACGGGGCAAATAAGGGCTACTTGTTTTAAAACCACCGTATTTCACTGACAACATACGCATAGACAAACAGTGATACAGGGGTCCAAATCTATACGACCACGCGGGATTGTCGCAGCCGCCTAAAACGCCGCTCGCGCCATCTCGCGACTATGAAGTTCAATTTCTCCTTTCTGTTCCCACCCGGCATGCTCGTTTCGGCTAGGAGAGCGACGCAGGAGGCGGCGACGCACGCGAGCCACAACACGAACACTCCCAGCACGTCGTCGAAGGTCAGCGTGGACGCCTCTTCCGGACCCGAAGACGCAGACGAGCCCCCTCCACAGGGACCCATGTCGCCCATGGCGATGCCCCACCAGTAGTTGACCAGTCCGGCTTCGAGAAGTCGTCGAATGCTGCGTGACAGGCGAGGCTCTACAACTGAATTTCGATGAAATCCAGACACTCAGCCAGTAAGGCTTGTTGTTGGGCGAGTGGTTTAATGTGAATGGTGTGCATAGTAGCACAAATTTGGAAAACACAGATTAAACGAAATAAGTCGGAGGGAGCAGAAAGGTTTGGCGCTAAACTTTGAGTTATCCTTAAATAACAAAAGAAATGTACCCTTACATGCCCACTCTATAGCCTGAAGATGTGGGCCTCGGCATCGTGAGACCAAGATAATAAGCAGAAGCAACGACGCAATAGGGCGAGAGTTATTGAAGGTGGTTCACATTAAGAAGAGGGGCATGGGTTGCATTAGTAACCCGTCTGTTTCACTTTACAAACATGAGCTGCAGCTTCTTGACAAGCGATTGTGGCCAGTGTTTACCAATTTTGACGTACGCATGCGCAGTGAGTTGTAGTCTGGGGCCCTGTCTTTTTGAATTAAGAGTTGAAGTATTCCACCCGACCTTTCTGTTCCCTTCTACTTCTTTTTTTCTGTGTTTTTTAAGTTTGTGCTACTATGACCTCCACTTGGTATTTCACTAGTCGCAGAAGCAACGAGTGACATCATCCTTTCTTATGTAAACATTTCCGGCTAAATCACTTCCGGTTTCTTTTTTAGTATTGAGAAAACGCCTATCAAAATAAAACTCGCATCTGTTCTTTTGATACAGGTTAAAAGTGATGTTTGACACACATGATGCTGGAGCAATTATAATGCTTAAAACAGGTACCTATACTGTCAGTATAATTAATCAAAATTTAAGAGTTTATTGAAAAAGCAGATTATTTTCATGTGAGTATACCTGAAATTGTTGACACTTCGTGTAGCAGCACTCAACTACAATCCTTTTTTTATGTGGCCTCTGCATTAAGCTACTGCTGCGCGAAGTTCAGCCAAGGAACACATCAGGGCTGTATTCCTTGGGTGCGACTACCACACACTCAATTAAGGCATTGTGGTCGCCTCGACTTTTCGGAAAATGTCATGTGACTAGGAGAAACAACTGAGAAGGGTATTGAACATCTTCCGCTTTTTCTACGAATAAACTATAAAGAGCCAGCAATGTTTAAGGACTGTTGAAGGTTGCGCTGTTCGAATTTTTAGCTTGCAAAGGCATGCACATTGTGAAGTATGATGGTGATATTGAATGTAATTCTCGCACCATGAACAGTACAGACACGACCTTTCTTAAAGAGCGACATGTAAGCAAAACACATACATTTTGTTGATGTTTTTGAACAGCTCGGGGTCGATGTCCTTGCGAGCGAAGCTGTTTAGAGGATGAGACACAAGTCCCTCGCGGGCCATGTAGTATTCGGCGCCCACGAAGTCTTGGCACTTGGATGACACCTGGAAGAATACATGCAAACACAGTGCATGTAGAAAGAAAGTCACAGCTTTGCCGCAAAGGCGAAGCAATGAACGCGATAGCAACAAATCGGAAGGTGACGCACAGAATGGCAAGCAGATCGAAACGTGCCCCGCGTTTCTTACGCGCAAAGGACGCATGAAACATAGTCACAAGTACAGATTAACGCGAATAAACGTCTCAGTTGTTACTTCGCTGTGTCTGAAAACCGCGCCCTTTTCGCAAATGGAGGCCGTGCAACGATTCCAGTGACCTTTGTACGCCGTAACTACAACAGAATTGTTCCGACGGAACTCAAAGGCTAGCCAAGACGATCGATTCCCCTCACTGCTATATAATGGCACGCGATCGAGCATACAGCCCCTTATTCTCTACATGGGCCAAAGTACGCGTGAGTGATGAGAGCCGCCACGCGCTCACTGCGCCATCTTGCTGATAATGGTGAAAACGCGAAAGTTCCTCCCCCTCAAGATGCCAGACAAGAGAGGTAACTGGTAGACATAAAGTTTCTCACAATCATACCTAGAGGAAAATCTGGTGCTAGTGAGCTGCTGGATGCAAAGGAATGACGGGATACGTAAGCTTCAAACTTGACTCGGATTTGTATACCTCGAAGATGCGTCTGGCTTCACGTTAAAATGATTGATTTCTTGCAAAAAGAGAACGTAATAAGCTATTTATATGTGTCATTGCACATAAACGTGTTTTATTTAATACTGGAACCTTTTTCGTCTATGTACAATTTTAGGAAGCGTAAGAAGTAACCAATGATGGCTAAACTTGGCAGGCAGACGACAAAGCGAGTGTTCTTTCCACCACGTTTATGTCGTCTGTTTCTTTCCTTCGCCGTTTGATTGTGCCGTCAAGGTGAGCGGACTTTTACTATTGATTATAATACGCGTGAACGAGATCCGCCTATGAATGTTTTGTTTTAAAGAAGCTTCGTTTACGCAGTCGTATTCGCTTTGGAGCCGAAGCCTCACTCAACACCAGCCAACACAAGCCTTGCAGACACATATACCGTCATTCCCAGCGCTCCGACATCGCCCCTTAAGAAATTCGCGTAGACGGTGGCGCCACACTTCTCTCTAGGTATTTGGGAGAAACTCTATGGTGGTAGCTATGGCTAGCTTGCCGTTGGAAAGTTGAAGGAGGTACCTCTCTGTGGCTCAGTGGTTAACGCCTCGCATTCTCGAAGTGGAGATTCCACGTTCCACGCTCACGCCAACACCAGTGGCGAAATCCAGCCGAGAGTGTACATATAATTGCTATCGCAATAAAAACTGTGCGGCTGGAGACTGCAGACTCAAAGCGGAAACAAAGACATGCACTGACATTCGGTGATGAGCTTTTTGTAGGTGTAAGAACAGCAGAGGAACAAAATGCCGGGATATTAACCAATATATGCAGAGAAATGTTAGTTAAAAACAGAGAGTTTAAATTGTAGACTTTCCTTTTTCTAGCCTGCATAGGGAAAGAACTAAGGGGGAAAGAAAAAAAAGCAATGAAAGGAAGGAAATGTGTACAAAAGGACTTTTAAAAAGGAAAAAAAGCTCGCACACTCTCACTTTTCATTGATTCCATTGATATGTGGTGTTTAACGCCTCGGAACTTCCATATAATTATCAGAGATTCCTTAGTGAAGGGCTTCGAAAATTTCGACCACCTGGAGTTTTTCGACGTGGACCGAAATCTGAGCAATTGCCTACAGAATTTCCGCCATCATCGAAAATCACACTCTCAGTCAAGCACGAGAGTGTGACAGTCGTTTAGCCAATCCGGTTGGCTGCAGAAACTTCAGCAATGCCTTCGTCGCTTTTTGGTTGGAAGCTCCAACGTTACGGTACACCAAAATTGATTATTCAAAAAGCGGCCTGTAAAATTCATCATAGACAATTACACACCAAGGAAAGGGATGGTGGCCTTTTAATGTTGAGCGTACAAATAAAAGAGTTTGAGAAAGAGGGCAATAGGAGAAAATCACAGTCTCACTCCTTACAATCACAATGTTGCTTTAGGCCTATATCAGCTGGTGTAAGTACGTTGTCTTCATGAATTCGCCCAAAGTCTTTTCGCTTTCATCCGCAAAGACACAGTCTCCGCATACTGCACACTCCAACACACGACAGGATATTGTACGAACTCGGCACACAGGACACTCATGTTATTCATCTGTTGTGGCATGTAGAGCGAAGATCACTTGAATTACGGAACTGAGCTTCCACGCATGCTAAATGGCTGCAATAATGTATGAACTTTGCTATTATTCTGTCTTAGTATGTCATATGTCAGATCTCGTAATATTAAAAATGGCCACTCGTATTAGGTGATGTCGTAAGATGACAGGCAAGTAGCCCCATATCATGATACGACAGTATGACTGTAGCGCTTCGCTGTGCAAAAGCGACCCCTCGCAGTCACTTTAGCTCGCCTTGTCTACATACGCATGTCGGCAGTAACCACTTGGCACTATCGTCCTAGAGTCATCAATGATGAATGTGACGAAGTCATTGATAAAACATTTGAAGACAATAGACTTGCCCAAACTCTGTAAGGTGATGGTGATGTCATTTATCGCCCAGGACTGGCGTACTCTGGTATAACATGCCTCTGCTTTCGTCTTTGTCTTTCTCTTTCTTTCTTTCCACTACTAACTTTCACATTACGCCATCTTTTTCCATTGTCTAGGTGGGTGCGCTAAGTATTGTCTACTGGTTCACATCCATATGTTTTCTTGTCTTCTTTCATTCTATTCCTTGCTTCATTTCTTCATGGCGATTAAGTGTTTGGCTATGGTTATATGAGACCAGGCAGTAGGAGAGTATGGCATCGGCACTAGAAATGCCAGAGGAGAGCTACTAGTAGAATTCGCAGAACGCAATAATTTGCGGATTTTAAATACTCTCTACCGAAAACGAGAAAACCGCAAGTGGACATGGAGGAGCCCTAATGGCGAAATTAAGAACGAAATAGATTTTATAATGACTGCACACCCAGGAATCGTGAAGGATGTGGAAGTGGTTGGCAAGGTACGATGCAGTGACCATAGAATGGTACGGTCTCGAATTCGCCTAGACTTGAAGAAGGAACGACAGAAACTGATACGCAAGAAGCCAATCAATGAGCTATCACTGAGAGGGAAAGTACAGGAATTCAGAGGGTCGCTGCAGAACAGGTACTCGGCTCTTAGTGAGGAAACCAACCTTAGCGTAGATACAATGAATGATAATCTAACGAGTATCATTACGGAGTGTGCAGTGGAAGTTGGAGGCAGGGTAGTTAGACAGGACACTGGCAAGCTTTCCCAGGAAACGAAGAACCTAATTAAGAAGTGTCAAAGCATGAAAGTGTCAAGTACAACAGACAAAATAGAACTGGCAGAGCTTTCAAGGTTGATTAATAGGCGTAAAGTATGCGATGTAAGAAGGTATAACATGGAGAGAATTGAACACGCTCTGAAAAACGGAGGAAGCATCAAAGCAGTGAAGAGGAAACTTGGGATAGGCAAAAGTCGGATGTATGCACTAAGGGACAAAGAAGGCAAAATAACTACCAATATGGATAGGATAGTCAAAATAGCGGAGGAGTTTTACAGAGATCTGTACAGTAGCTGAGACAACCACGACCTTAATACTATAAGAACTAGCAGTAACCCAGATGACACCCCACCAGTAAAGATAGAAGAAGTCAGAAAAGCTTTGGAGAGCATGCAAAGAAGCAAAGCTGCTGGTGAAGATCAGGTAACACCAGATCTGCTGAAAGATGGAGGACAGATTGTGTTAGAAAAACTAGCCACCTTGTTTACGAGGTGTCTCCTGACGGGAAGGGTACCAGCGTCTTGGAAGAACGCTAACATCATCTTAATACATAAGAAAGGAGATGACAAGGACTTGAAGAATAACAGGCCGATCAGCTTGCTCTCTGTAGTATACAAGATATTTACAAAGGTAATTGCTAACAGAGTAAAGAAAACATTAGAATTCAATCAACCAAAGGAACAAGCAGGATTTCGAGCAGGCTACTCAACAATTGACCACATTCATACTATCAATCAGGTAATAGAGAAATGCTCAGAGTATAACCAACAACTATACATAGCCTTCATAAATTACGAGAAGGCGTTTGATTCAGTAGAAATATCAGCCGTCATGCAGACACTGCGGAATCAGGGCGTAGATGAAGTATATATAAACATTCTGGAAGAAATATACAGGGGATCAACTGCTACCATAGTGCTTCATAAAGAAAGCAACAGAATACCAATCAAGAAGGGTGTAAGGCAGGGGGACACAATCTCCGCAATGCTATTTACCGCGTGCTTACAGGAGGTTTTCAGAAGCCTAGAATGGGAAAGTTAGGGATAAGAGTTAATGGAGAATACCTTAGTAACCTGCGCTTCGCCGATGACATTGCATTGCTGAGTAACTCAGGGGATGAATTGCAACTCATGATTACGGAGTTAGACTAGGAGATCAGAAAGGTGGGTCTTAAAATTAATCTGCAGAAAACGAAAGTAATGTACAACAACCTCGAAAAGGAGCAGCACTTCGTGATAGGTAATGGTGCACTTGAAGTTGTAAAAGACTGTGTCTACTTAGGGCAGGTAATAACCGCAGAGCCTAACCACGAGATTGAAGTAACTAGAAGAATAAGAATGGGGTGGAGTACATTCGGCAAGCACTCTCAAATTATGACAGGTAGATTGCCACTATCCCACAAGAGGAAGGTACATAACAGCTGTATCTTGCCGATACTTAGCTACGGAGCAGAAACCTGGAGACTTAGAAAGAGGGTTCAGCTTAAATTGAGGACAACGAAGCGAGCAATGGAAAGAAAAATGGTAGGTGTAACCTTAAGAGACAAGAAGAGAGCAGAGTGGATTAGGGGACAAACGGGGGTTAAGGATATCATAGTTGAAATAAAGAAGAGGAAATGGACATGGGCCGGGCATGTAGCGCGTAGACAGGATAACCGCTGGTCATTAAGGGTAACTAACTGGATTCCCAGAGAAGGGAAGCGGGTTAGGGGGAGACAGAAGGTTAGGTGGGCAGACGAGATTAAGAAGTTTGCGGGTATAAATTGGCCGCAGCAAGCAGAAGACCGGGTTAACTGGCGGAACATGGGAGAGGCCTTTGTCCTGCAGTGGACGTAGTCACGCTGATGATGATGATGATATGTCAGCTAAGCTTAGCGATAAAATAGGAGGTGATATATATGTCAAAATTACCAGGTCACATGCCTGCAGTAGTGAAGGGCTCCGGAAAGCTCGACCATCTGGTGTTCTTTACGTGCAACAAATTTGCGTAGCATCTGGATCTCGAGCATAACAGTTCCATTGAAACGTGTTCACCGTGGCCAACATTGAAGCCATAATCCTAGGGCCGGCAGCAGGGCACCGAAACGACTAGTCCACCGAGGTGGATGAGTGAACTTTCTAATACACTTTTAGTTGGAAGTCTGAGCTTGTTTATGTTGCCTGTTCTGGTCCGTTGTCCATAGTTAGTGGTAGCTTTCTAACCTGGAAAGCTAGAGACGTCGCGTCGCTGATTATGGCAGCACGTCCTTGAGCCACCTTTTCCAGGAGGGCCCTGCCGTAGAGCTCCTGCACCGGAACAGCTGTGCCTCTCTCTCGGATGGTGCGGCCGATTCGGCGCTGATCTGGATTGGTCGAATTCTGTGGAAATCGTTCAGGTGGTTGTTAAGGTTGTGCAGGTGGGGTTAGAAAATAAGTATGAAAAATGCAGAGACACCATCTCTAACACCATTAACCATAGCCTCCGCTTCGTAGTAGTACTTTAAAAACTGGTTCAATTGTTTTGCCAAGAAATGAAAGTGTACAGGAATAAAATACGAACGTTATTGTCTACTAGCTGATGATAATGACAAAAATAATCAGATGCCATCTGAGGCACCATAATAACACGTCAATGATTAGTATGTGTGTTTTTATACTAGAGAAGGCAGTGCCTAAGTAATTTTAAGGACCGTAGCGTTTATCACGTTGCACTGAAGATGCAAGGCGATTCAAAAAGGCAAGCGTTTCCAACACTAAGAACTAAGACGACACGGTGGTGGCACCTGCCCATTGCTTTCGCGTCCTACACCTTATCACCTCCGAGGACAGGCGCGCACGCCTTCGATCGCTTTCGAAGAAAACTGCCAGATAGCGCTCGTATCTAACATGCCTCGATGCGCTCGTTCGCCTTCGCTGCACGAATGTAGACTCTCTAACGCAGTGCCTCCAGAATGCAATTCACCGATGTTCCCACGCAGAACATCAAATAAACGTTTTTTTTTTCACTCTCTCCAAACGCAAGATATTCGTCTTTCGATAACATTTTCAGTGAAACATGCACATACAGGGCCAGTTTTTTCTTTGCAATCTGTTTTTATATTTTTATAACGTTTAATCTATGACAAAAATACGTCAGTGGAGCCACGGTTGACCCCAGCATAAAACAATTTCGTGTTATAAACTTGTTAAAGTGCTACGCAATAAACTTCGAAAGTTCAAATCGCGCATTATAGCTAGAAATTATCGGTTTGCTCAGCGTGGTCAAACCGTGAAAATGCAAAAACTCTGCAGTTTTTTGTGAACGTATACTTACAGCTACAGTTGCCACATACGATGTTCCAAGCCACATATATGGCACCGTCTGTGGTCGGTCTACAAGGTCTTCGGCGCTCTCGATCTTTCGCACTTCAGACTTGATCATGAGGCAAGCACGCATGTGTCCACAGAAGGCGTTCATCAGCACCAATGTGGCCAGCCACCAGACTGCGCTTAGCAGACGTTGAGCTCCTCCTCGAACAGGTTCCGCCGTTGCTGAACAGTGTAGTAAGAAAGGATAAAAAAACGCGAAACATAGTATAGCCATGCGTAGTATAATATAATAGGGGCATGGTGAGAAAGGGAAGTTAGTGGGAAGAAGAGCCGGAATAGGAGAAAGAGTGTGACGAAATCGCTAATGAACAGTTCTCTGCAGCCCAGGACGTCAAGCCGGCTGCACGTTCAAAACACCAGCGTTTGCTTTCCTGTTGACGCCAGCGTCTCTGTAGGACCGGTGCATTACTGCTCAGCATTTTTTTGCGACAGCCTCAACGTTTAGTCAGACTTTGTACGTTTTTTTTTTCATTACGGCTCTCTTTTTAATGAAATATTTCTAAGTGCCCCACGAAATCCCAAAAGTGCTCTTTTTTTAATGATCAGCTTTCCTTCTGAGCCTTCTGTTGGCCATTTCACATTTATCTGTTTGAATTGGTACTCGGGACAGGAAAATGCAGAGAAAAGAAACTGGAAAAATATAACCACATTGTCGATATCAGTAGATACACTACCTATCTCTAAGTCAAGTACAGTGTGCATGCCAAGAAACGCAAACCGTGGCACCAGTATTCTCTACTGCGTCACACTTTTCAACTTATTGTAGCTTAAATGGTAGCAAAAGTCACTGAAGTCATCCATAATACAATCTATGACAATCATAGCACCTTTTCATTGCCACCAAGGTCAGAACGTGATGAAAACAGAGGGCCGTGCTGCTAGAATTTCTTTCCATAATCTTGTGCAATTTTCCCCCATTACAGAAAGCCAGCGCCTACCCGGGGGTGCTATGTGCTGAGCCAATCCCTCGAGAATTAGATGCGCGTGCTTTATCACTTGACTACCCCTGCGGTGTTCCATGAGGTGACGCGGCCACTCTATTCCATCTGACAATAATGCTGCGTCGTCCTTTTCTGTTACTGTGACATCAATCACATCGGTACCCAATGGGCAGTTCTGCAGTAGCAGTCATCGTCATGTTCCTTATATTTTACAACTCAATAGCACCCCCCCCCCCCGCACTTCGTATGATGTATGTGCGGGTGAAAACCTGCGAAGGCTACAGATGGCCGCCGCTCAAAGGGAGTTGAAAGTGCCAGCCGACTCCATCGAGTGGAAGGAGCATCATTGGGTAACAGTGGGGCTGTGGCTCGCGAGAAGCTGTTGCGCACTTTTATGGTACGAGAGTGGTTACGCGCGCTTTCCATGCACAAATTAGTCGATGGCTCGTACCCTTGTACGTGTTGTGTTTTCACTGCCTATTTCGCTTTCAAGCGACCGACGACACGAAAACCACTTAGCTCGCTGAAGAGACCCCATTTTTTGAAGCTGGCGTCCCATACATGTACCCCAATTATTAAAAGATATTTATTTGTATTGTATATTGTATTCATATATTGTATTCATATTTATTTCACATTGACAGTTTGCAGTATTGTGTAAGCAATCGGCGCAATTACATTGAAAGCTTGAGAAAACAACAATCACACATATCAAAACCAGCCATACATGAGAAAAACTAAACATAGGTCTTTAAAGCAAGCACGTTCCGACTTTCCTAGAAAATGAGCCACTAGACGTGTGATCCTAATTGTGGTTGCGAATGACGCACGAAAAATATTGAACCTGATGCGCAGCTTTATCTACGCATGAATAGAGGAAAAACAGGCGCATCAAATTCCAAAAAAGCTGCTATAGCCCTGTTCGGTTCAACATTACGAAAATTTGATATCGCAATCATTGTTGACCTTGCGGCAAAAGTGTGACCCCCTTTTTTTTTCATTTTAAGCATCGTTTTTATTTTCTAATTTTCGAAGCTCAACTACACGCTTTCCTGCGGCCTCTAAATATCATCTGATAAACATAAGCTTGAGCCAAAGGAAAGCCTATTACCTTCTAGGAAAAGGTTCTCCACGTACATCCACGTTGCATCGGTAATGCTCCGGATAAAGGACATTCTCTTCTGGGACTTGTAGGCTTGCACGTGGTTGAGCAGTGCAGTCACCACGGACACGATAATCAAAGCTACGCTGAGGAACATCCACACCTGTGATGTCAGTACAATTTATTGATGTGCGTGTGTGAGCTAACTTGGTCACTTTTATATAGGCGCGGAACGATTGAACGAAGGACGAAGAGGCACCGACAGGTGCTGGCTTCGAAATGAAGAATATGTCTAAGCGAGACGCATATGTCGTATGTAAAACGAACAGAAACCAGACGAATTATAGTGCAAACACTGAGTGTAGAGACACGCATGCACTGCTCCGTCACCTATATCAGTTGGAAAGTTAACCCATGTCTATCTCTTTTTGTGCTTCGTCCAAACGTTTTTCGGTTAACAGCAGAAAATAATTAAGACAAGGCAACACGTCCACGTTCACGATTAATGGTGGAGAATCGTTCAGAGTGGGAACGAAGGCATTTGCTCTGCACCTCACGCAGTTTCGCAAACAAGGCGCGACCAGCCAATCTTTGACAATACGGTCATTTCGTGCGTTGACGTCAATGCTGCACTTGACGTTCGGTAGTTCATGGTGACGTATTGATTCTGTCATGAATTCTAGAGAACTGTGACGTCATGGTAACATCCTATGACGACGTCCTCTCATGATGAGGGTTTTTTGCGTCACTCACGCTGACATCGTGGCTGGTGGTCAATTTTAGCAATTATTGGACAATTTAAACACATTCAATTTAATATATAAATTACTACGTTAAATTTTGCCGCAGTTTTAGACCTTTGTCTTTAACCAACTTTTTCCAAATAGCTTGCTCACAGTCTCATTTAGGAAAGCTACTCGTCTTACGACTGAATAAGTATTACTCGCCATCCAGTCGAAAGCCATGATATATCCAAAGACGCTGCTCTGTTGCGAGCTCTCGCGACCCGCCAAGATGCGCAGTTCCTCCATGTAGAACACAGTCGAAGGCTTAGCGATCTCCAGGCGTTCCGAGGCTGGAAAAAATGGTCCCATGGCCAGGTCACTCTCCTGGAAAAATTAATACGCTAGTGGAGATGATTTCAAAGGTGGCACAGGCAGTCCGTTTATTTTTTGACAAATAGGCATGTTTGAAACTCTAGCATGTTCCAGTGATGCGACGTGATTTCCTTCTTTAATTGTTTTTATCTCTACAAGAACAACAACCAGTGCAAAGGCAAAAGGCTTGTAAACCTGAGAGAAGGTGCTTACTGTATTTAAAATACAGTACGGCCAGCAGCAAGTTATCTACATACATTGTAAAAAGGGAAATTCGAAAGAGAGAAACAAAATATACAGGCACAAAAAACGTCGCTCACACTACTGGCGCGAAGCCGGAACCAACAGCGGAGCTATAGTCTTCAACCGAGATTTTCTAAGGTCTTGCTATTGGGGTCAACCTTTTGATAAAGATGGGAAGCTTTTGCTGATAGATGCCCTTATGGTTATACTTGGCTATCTTTCTCGAGTGTTTTTAGGTTTCCCACTCTACCAAAAAATGTCACGTGGTTTTGGCGGGAACATACCTCGTGACTACCTGTGACGTGAGGTCATGATTTCAATCGTGTAAACCGGCTGTTACGTGGTTCCTGGCGGGAAAGAGAAAAAAATCCTTTCTATTTTCATTTACTTTTGTAACTTCCCTCTTCTATCATCTTTTATTCTCTTACCCTTTACCCAGCCCGGGGTAGCCAGCGAGTCTGACAACTGGCTAACCTCCCGGTCCTTCCGTTTTTCTCCACCTACTCCTCCTCCTGGCGGGAATATCTCACATGAACAGTCGTTACGTGATTTTATTCACGTGAGTAGTACTTACATGATGTTACTCGACTTTTGCCACGGCTGTGATTAGTTAGGTGATTCTGCATGATTTCCGTCACGTAACTAAATGTGACGTGTTACAAGACTTTAGCCACATTATTAGTGTTACGAGCTAGCCCCGCCGCGGTGATCTAGTGGCTAAGGTACTCGGCTGCTGACCCGCAGGTCGCGGGATTGAATCCCGGCTGCGGCGGCTGCAGTTTCCGATGGAGGCGGAAATGTTGTAGGCCCGTGTGTTCAGATTTGGGTGCACGTTGAAGAACCCCAGGTGGTCGTAATTTCCGGAGCGCTCCACTACGGCGTCTCTCTTAATCATATGGTGGTTTTGGGACGTTAAAACCCACATATCAATCAATCAATCAGTGTTACGAGCTGTTACAGCTTGTCACTTGTTTCTTGACTAGCTTTTACGAGTACTTCGAGTCAAGTGACCAGTCGTTGCATGCGTTATGACGAGAAAATCTCATATGGGTAGTTGTGGCGTCATGGTATTTGATTTTAGTCAATAACTAGTTGCACAAAGTTTCGTCATATTAGCAACATGGCCAGCTGTTACGTGATCTCACTTGACCTTATTCACGGGACTAGCTGTTACTTGTTTTAATCCGTAACATGTCATGTTACTAGTTCTTATGGGGTGTTACATAATGTTTAGTCATAGTACTAAATGTTATTTGACTTTTAGGGCTGTCCCTTCGTGATGTGACCTCTTCTTTTTTTTTAGTATTGTGAGTAGCTACGCTATATCTCGTGATTTAAGTCCCGCACCTGGTTACTGAATCGTTAAGTGTTTGTTATTCTTGTCGCTAGTTTTAATGCAATGTTACGTGATTTAACCTTATGACTAAATACAACGTGAAGTCCACAGAATTCACGTTCCCTTGACTAGTTATTACTTTATCTCACGCCAAGTACTGACGTGGCTACATCGGCAACGTGATTACGTCAGCGAGACGAGATTTTCAGGAATATAGGCGGCAATACCGAAACGGCGCACGTAGCTTCGATCCAGCTCAAACCGTTCTCGCAGAACACAAGGAGAAGATGTCAACATCGCTTCAATTTCGACACCAGCCTGGGTCATCGAAATGGAACGTAGCCGCACCAATGGCAGTTCTTAGTAATCTTGGAATATCCAATCGCGTAGAAGTATTTACCGCTCAACTGGGACCCTGTGAGCGTGTATGTAAACGGTCTCAGGAACCAATGGAGAAGACAAATTAGCAACAAGGACGACGGGAAGAGGGATAAAACCACTCAAAAAAAGCACCAGCTTCGGAGCCAGCCGGGCAGCCACCCCTTGGAGAAGGTACAGAACGGGTCTTAGACACTGAATGAGAATGGTAAATGTGTTTATTCGTGTGACTACTTACGCATTGTTAGGTCATTTCAAGTCGCGTGACATACTCGCTCCTCGTAGTTCTAGCCTTCTACCAAGGCCGGAAGAACTTTAGCACGACTTGGGGAGGGGCGGGGAGGAGGGTAAAAAAGCGGATGGTGCGAGCGCATGCTGGTTCATGTCTGTTCGCACTAGCCGGTGCAGCGAAAAACTTCGCTTCGCTGATAATCTTGTGTAAAACGTGTATTATAAATCTTTTTGGACACACACATAGATACACATTATCACACTTGTAACACGAAATATCTTCGTCAAACAATTTATATCAGCTCTCAGTGCATAGATCAGGCAGAGCTAATGAATATAGGTTGAGTAATCTGGGGAGAAAATACAATTGGTAATGAATAAAGACAGTAAAGACATTGCGTTTACACAGTAAGACACGTGATATGTAACATAAGCGAGTAGCCACACAGAAGAGAATTTGAGGAAATAATGTTGTTTCAAGTTTCCATCAAACCATGCTAACCCTGAATTTGCTTGCGCATTGGGCTGCCTATACAAGAAAATCAAGTTGCGCCATGCGAACCTTCATGAACTTCTAAGATCGTAGTATGTGGTACTAATGGTAAGTGCTGGAGAGTAATGACCCAAGATTCCGATATAAATATGAGAGACGCCGTAAAGGAGGGCTCTGGAAATTTCGACCACCTGCAGTTCTTTAGCGTGCAGCTGAATTTCGGCACACGCCTCAAGCATTTTCTCTTCACCAGAAATGTCGCCGCCACGGTTGTACGTGATACTGATTTCTCATTATCTCACATATTTGACATCTTGCATGAAAACTGTGTACACTAAAAACTAGAATATTCAACACACCTGTTCTTAAAAAGATGCAGATTCTGTTCGCACTCAAGAGTGCGAGATCAACATTATCAGATGTGCTCCACTGGGGAGAGTGCCCCGCCGCGGTGGTCTAGTGGCTAAGGTACTCGGCTGCTGACCCGCAGGTCGCGGGTTCAAATCCCGACTGCGGCGGCTGCATTTCCGATGGAGGCGGAAATGTTGTAGGTCCGTGTGCTCAGATTTGGGTGCACGTTAAAAAAACCCCAGGTGGTCGAAATTTCCGGAGAACTCCACTACGGCGTCTCTCATAATCATATGGTGGTTTTGGGACGTTAAACCCCACAAATCAATCAATCAATCCACTGGGGAGAGAAAAGGAACAAAACCATAAATTATGACGATTAGTACAAAAAACTTGCGTAATATGCACGACGACCCTGTTGCGTCCAGACGTTCAGTTAGAACGTATATTAAGGCTCATACTGCTCGTCATAGCCGGTCGCTCACTTCAAACCCCTTTTTCCTATATAGGCAAGGATAAATGTATAGAGATAAAGTGAAAGCGAACTGGCTGACAATGCTACAACACTGATCCCACAGCAATGGAGGCGAAGGCGAGTATACCAGCCCATTTTTTTTTCAAGCACCTGGGGCTAGAAAATGAAGGAAGTGAAATCTTTCTGGAATTCACAGCTACGGTGCGTCTCGCGGTAAAGCCGGTACCCCCCCAGCATTTTCTTGATAAGCGGCCATAGAAAGGAAATCTGGCAAATGTGTGCTGTATGCGCATACAAGGAATGAAAAAGAATACATGTCTCACATTTCGATGTAGCATACCCATGCACCCCGTCCAGGAGCCGTCAGCCCGAGGACTTCCTGTGGTCACCTCCGGAGGTAGAGCGATAGTGTAACTGCAAAGTTGCAGTGCGATGGCTGACATGGGGGCTCGTTACTGTAGCATCGTTGGGGAATATTTCAATGCATGTAACCCAGGACACAACAAGACACGAACACAGTACGAAGCCGTGTAGGTTCTTATGTTCTTTTGCCTTGTTTTTGTCCACACTCAAACTAGCTACAGTAATATCGAGAGGCAAGTGATGTAAACTGATATGCAGGGTGTGGGAAGTGTTTTTGTAAGAAGTTACTTATTTAACTCCTTTGCGCACAGACCTATTGTATTTAGTTTGCTTACTATCTCTCTGGTTAGTCTAATTTTTATATTATCCTACGTCTCAGGTCATATTACGAGGGCATTTTGTGGGCCTCATACTGTGCATGTAAAACACGTGAATCAAATAGCGAGTAAGACATTGATTATTAAAAACTATGATTTTCAGTGAACAATCCACCAGTGCAAACACTACCATGATAAAATTTTACTATTCTCGATATAAGGCAGTTTATTTCAAAAAAAAATTTGAAGTGAAGCTTCACATTTCTCATATATTGCACATTGTATGGTACTGAGAACGACATTATCAATTCACAACACCAGTTTTGGTAACGTAAAAAAAAGTACGAGGAGGAGATGCGTGTGTGTATAGCTTGTTCTGTGTGTGAATGGGTTCAGAAGATAGCGAAGGTTGAAACGTCCAGGGCAAATTATGCTAGTTCTGCAGCAAAGATCGCTGAATATTTTCGTAATGAAAAGCGCACACTACCAATAAATATAACCACCAACCTCACGATTCTCGAATTCAACCCTGGCTTTTCGTTTGTCACCTTCTTTTTGTGCTTCTCAAAATAGCTTCTCACTAGGGACTATCGCTGGCTGAGTAATCTCAAAAACCTATTCATTTTCTCTAAAATTAGAACTATATCCTAACAACTTTGCTGAGAGCAACAAGTCTAAGTGGAGTTCCGTGCAACGCTCCATAATAAGTAGAAATGGGGTGCCAAATTTTCTTTCTCTCTTTTAACCCCACCACTCTGCTTACGTGTCATCTGAACGAAAACAGTTTTTATTCCCAGGGTACCAGAATTTTTTCTAATAAACCTCTATTTCAGGGTTCATAGCTTCGGCATTGTCGATTCTATGTGCCAGAATACAAGCTTGCATTTCCATCAGCTTTTGTCTCGATACTGTTGTACGCGTTTAGAGTAAAGCATATCAGGCCTTATCTTTAGAGCTCGACTAAGATGAATGATATTCCATGGGTTCACTGAAAAACAATAGATGCTGCAATGCTACAAGACGAAATTAGCGTAGCCTGTCCTGTTTCTAAGTAATTGTAGAAGCTGTGGCCTCCCTCACTGGCTTTTGACCCGTATGTATATGAGGAGAATAGTTAGTGTTACCACCTGGTATAGTCACATATTGATCACCGAAAGCTAACTCCGGCAATTTTTGGAATTCAATGCATCTGAACGAAATTCACTGGGTGCATTTGTATGCACGTTTGCGCCAATCAAACCAAATATCAGGCTTGCGAGTTTTGCACATTCTCTTTAAACGCATTTTATAGCTTGCCTCTGAACGCTCACATCGCTTGCCAGAATTAATGGCAAGATTGTGTGTGTGACGTTCATTTTCGTAAAGCACAAGCGAATGAACTGATGTATCATTGCAGCGTTCGCTTGCCTGCTATCAATTCTGTGCTTTTGGCAGGCGATTTCTTGGTTGAGTATGTGATTTCCTTTTCTGTGTTGTTAGGCGTGTGATGGGGGACAAGTGGTGTTGCATTGTGGGCAGCACACGATTCGCAATATATTCACCTTAACAGCGTAAGCGTTGTAGCTGATCGTCGCAGGCTCAAACGTCAACGGCCCGGACAAGTAGTGTCATCTGGCGGTGTTATGCGCAACCAGGAAGGTTCGGGCAAAGTATTACGCCACACGTAGCAGCGCACATGGTTCTGTTTGAAATTGAAATTGATTTTTTATTTCGGCAAAAAGCAAGTACAGCGCTCGAAAAGACGCCTACCCCCGTGTGAAGACAAAATCCCTAGAAAATTACACAATTATCAGCTTAAAATCAAACAGTGAACAAAGGGAAAAAAGCATGGTGAATTTCTACTTGGAAGTTATACGTGTCAAAATAAGTGACGCTACTTCAGGCAAAAGCATCAATAAATTTTATTCATGTGGCTATCGAATGAAACACAGTTTAAAAAACATAACCAAACCTTAATCCAATTTACATGACAAAAATAAGAAATTCGACAAACGAAGTTTCAAGAATTAAAAAAACAAATACATATTTTTGGTTTCGATTTTGGTATTGCAATTTTTTGCTAAATACAATATTTTCTAATTTGTTGCGCACTTCAGCTACCGAGCGTGTGACAAGAGTGTCGCAGCAACATACCAGCACCATTACCCTGAAACTGTAAAAAAATCACCGGTCTTGCACTTCAATGTAGCCGTTGCAAATGTAGGTGTTTCCTTTTCCGCAACTCATTTTTTCTGGCATTTGCGAGGATTGTAACCCCATTCCTGCTCCTATTACTGACATTACTGGTGATCAATGTTTGAGATTATGTTACGTACCAGTAAATGATTGGTACACCTCATATGTTTGTTGGGTGGTCTCGAAATATCCTTTATAGTGTTTACCTGTACTGTATAGCTCTTTGATATCTCCTCTTTAATCCTTCAGTCCTCCGATTAAAATAAGGTAAATCAAACGAAATGCAAAAGACAAATCATGCAAGTTTTCTTGGAAGTCTCAGACACTAACTTGAAATGGAGCGCTTGGACCAGGGCGTTGAAGACGTTTCCCACCGTACCGTTCAGAAGGTACTCGCCATTGGGGCCGCGCCTGATATTCGTGTGTGGGCTGTACTGCGTAGTAATAATCATAGACACAAGAACAGTGAGGCAAGTTCTGGTCTTTTCCATGGCATGAAATGCCACTTCAGCAACAACGTAGAAGCAATAGACGACGAAAACAACAGTCGTATTCTGGGCACAAGATTGACTTCACACCGTGGCCTATCATGAACCATAGTGATTCGAAGTTTGTCCACGCTTAAATGCACGCACTTTACTGTAAGGCGCCTAAGCAAATGTAAACGTGGCCTGGTTGCAAAAAGGAATGCCCCTCCTCCCACCGGCCCACTTTTTGAATTAGCTTATGCGTCCTTCAGTAAAGTGCGCGCCGGGTCTATTGTGAACACGATGTCTTGCCCATGTCTTGGTTAAGCTGCAGGCATATCTACTTCAGCAGTAGTCCGTCATAACCACTGGACAACTGTCAACGGGGATAGGTATATGACCAGCTTTTAGCAATAAAATAGCCTCGGTGATACATGTAAGCTAGCATGACATTACCACAATCCCTGCAATGAAGCACTGAGCCTGGAAATGCATAGAACTTCACTTGTTACAGAATACGACGCCAAAAGATAACAACATGGTACCATAACAACATGGTCCTCCTAAATAAAGAAAACATGTCCACGATGCCTCTGGAAGAATATACGTACCGCGCATCGAACACGGTATACGAATAAACTAGTCTACCGGAGCAACGATAATTAGCAACCAAGGTGTTTTGCCTGACGTGAATAGCAGTATACTTACGGGCAGGATGGAAACTCGTACAACATTCTTGTACATATCAGGCATTGATGCAAAGCCCGGCGTTCAGAAAGGAAAAACTTAGCAGAACTGTTCTTTCAGCAGGTCAATTCAGTTCCCAACCAGCTACTACATGAAAGCTCTTATTCTTCAATAGAATTCAAGTAGCGGCTCTTACTCGTTACTGAGTGCACCGTTGTGCTGCGTAAAACGACCGGCAGCCAGTGTGCAAATAGCGCGAGCCAATTGGCTCCAGACTGCGCATGTATTGAACACATCCTCCCTCTCTGCGCAGCGATGCACCGAAATCATAACAAAAATACGATGCATAAAGAACTAGGTCTATCAGGGTCAGTGCCATCTATTCCCCGCCTGTTAGACAGCATTTATGCAGAACCAATCAACTCATTTTCAGCCATTCCAAATGATAAGTGCGAACACGGTACGCAGTTGTCGGCGCCTTGAATAATCGCAAGGCCGTAGAGTGCGCACTCTGCGAGTGCTCATTTTTTTTCAGCTCCCCCGATTCCAGCGATTGCTTCAAGCTTTCGATCTCGGCAAGCCTTTAGCAACTTGCACTTGCTGCGCGTTCAAGATAGGGCCTGGTAACTGGGATATCAGGAATTCTTTGACGAGTCACAAAGAATAGACAATAGGTGATTAGCACCACCACCATGCCAGAAACAGCAAGATATGACCCGCAAACAGTTGCATACTAATTACAAAAAGTAAAACATACAATCCGGTTGATTAATTTAGCGGGAGGAGATCATTTTGAGCAGAATAATTATGTGGCATGAACGTAATAACAAGTTTGGTATATGGGGACCTAGCAAAATGACCGCGAGCACGCTATGAGCGTAGCATGTAGTGATGTTGTACGTAATACGTAATTCATGATTTTAATGTTTGGACGTGTCATTTACCTTCGTCATGTATTCACGTCACGTGGTACCAAATTCGGTACAAGTGCAGCTAGCAAAACAAACATGGGCGCATTAAGAGCGTGCTATGTTGTCATATTCTTACATGACACGCATGCTTTGATTATCTTGTTTGCATCAGTCATATACCTTCGTCATCTGTTGACGTCACGTAACACTAAATTAGGTATATGTGAAGCTAGCGAAACGACAGCGAGTGCACCATGAGTGTTCCATGTAGTCGTGTTTTACATGACATGCTTGTCATCAGTGTCATGGTTGGTTGTGTCATTTACTTTGGTCATCCATTCACGTCCCATGATACCAAAATTAGGTATATGTGAAGCTAGTGAAACAATCGTGAGTGCACCGTCAGCGTTACGTGTAGTCATGACCTACATAACATGCGTGTCATGATTTCCGTGTTAAGGTCTATTACTTGTGTTCACCCTGCAGTCGTGTCATGCCATACCAGTTTTGTAATATGTCATGTGAGCGAAAGCACCGCAGGAGCAGCAAGACCATGAAATGTAAATTATTACATTCATGACATGTCATACTTTTCATGTTATGACTTGTCACTTATGGTCATCATACGATCATGTTATGCCATACCAATTTTGACATCAATACCATTATCGAAACGGCCAGAAGAGCTAAAAGTCGTAGATGGTTAGATAGATAGATGTATACGCTAAAAGTGGTCAACGTTTGCTGAGAAATACTGTGCATTTAAAAAGCAGTATTCACTTACACACTCAAGCACAGAAGTGTCACAGTCGTTTCGCGAGTCCAATTGACAACAGAAACTTTAGCATTCCCTTCCGTCGCTACCTGCTTGAAAGATCAGACGTCCCGGCACCCAAATTGTGCTACTCGGAATACGGCTGGTCATCGAGCCATGCTAAGGTTAGCGAAAGCTGATATCTTTTGGAGCTGTAGTGAGGTCAATTGCAAAGCACCGTAGGTTATGTGGCTCCTGGCAGAATGGTCCCTTGCATTCGCCCCTATTGACGTGCAGCGTGGAAGTCCAAGACAAGTCCTGAGTGCCTGGTTCTGAGCACTAACGTACCGACCCACGAAATCAATTCTAGGAGTAAGGGTAGCCAGGCGGTCACAAAACAAAAGACTCTGCGTTTACAGAAATAATAGTCTCAGTGGTAATTATGTGACTGAAAGGTTATGTAATTGCCAGTGGTACAATGGTAAAGAGAACTAGCATGCGAATAGTCCGAGGCAAAGCCTAGGGAATAATATTGGAAGCAATTGTAGTTGTAGAAAACAGATTGAAGATGGAGCTCGGAGGCGAGGAAGAAGAAGCAGCCAGGGGCACGCTCTGCATATTTTTTCTGTTCTTTCAACAATAAACCGAAGACGTATCAGTCCTGCGGTCTCTCTGGTCGTTCTGAAACATGGTGCCATGACCAGGATGATCTGAAGACAGACGCACAGACTTCAACCCCATTCGCAACAACGGGTTGAAGAACGAAGCAGCGGCGTCTGGCTCAAGGACGAACCGTCGAGAGAAGGACCACGACCGACGACTGTTGGAGACGCACATAGAAAGGCAAGAGCTCTTATAACACGTTTTAAGCATGAATAAAGAGGTCCTATCGAAGAAGCGGAAGACGCTTCGAGCAAATGTGACGACGCTTACGAGCGAAATCGATAAGAAGATAGAAGAAGACGCCGATCGAGCGCAACTTATGACGCTTCTGAACCAGATGAAGAGCGTGTCACAGACGCTAAGACAAGTTAACGAACAGATAGAACCGTTCATTGAAGAAGACGACGCGGAGGCAGAATTTGAAAGAGTTTTGCATTATGAGATGAAGATCGTCGCTGCAACGACAAAAATTGAGGAGCGATTACGCGAGTTAGAACAAGCGACGCAACTGCATGACTACGAGAATAGTCACAAAACAGGCGAGTTCAGTGCAAGGTACTGACCAAATCTCGGAGACGCAAGAGCTTGTTAAGTTGCCACGTCTTGAGATGATCAAGTTTGATGGGAAAAAAACAGCATGGCCAAGGTTTTGGCATCAGTTCGAGACATCGGTGCATAACAGAGTGAACATGCCGAAGAATCAAAAATTTAATTACCTTCTGGCGTCTCTGAGCGGGGAGGCTGCGTCCCTCATAGAAGTTTTGCAGTTTTCTGATCAGAATTACGAGCATGCAGTCGCTCTTTTGAAAGAAACCTTCAGACGAGAAGATAATTTAAAAGAGACATACATAAAAGAGCTTGCAAATTTGGAAGCAGTGAAGAGTCCTAAAGATGTAGATGGGTTGAAGAAACTCTTCCAAAAGTTGCAAGCGAACACACGAGCATTGCAGTCATTAGGAGTGGAAATGGGTAGTTACGCCACAGTGATAGCTCCTGTTGTAAAATCTGCGCTACCGGTGGATATGAGGATTGAGATGAAGATGAAGGAGTTAAAGAAAGGTGACAACAGATGAGCAACTACGGAATCGGACTCACCGTCAAGAGACAGCACGAGCAGTTTGAAAGAAATTATGGAGTTTTTAAACATATATATACGCAGCAGAGAAGAGACTCGAGAGGAAAAATACGACGTTACCCAGTCACCGCACAGTATGAGGAGGACTAGAACATCTGCGCTTCAAAGCACCTCGATGAAAAAATGCGTCTTTTGTGAGATGACTGGACACTACACGGAAAATTGCAGAAGAACCATTAGTATGCAACAGAAGAAAGAAGCCTTGCGACGGGAACGAAGGTGCTTCAGGTGCACCAGACCTCACCACACGGCGAAGATATGTCACGCTAACGTACGCTGCAAAACATGCAAGGGAAGGCATGCGACATCCATGTGTCGACCACGTACGCCTGCAGGAAAGTCAGCACAGCAGCAAAGCGGTGATGTTGAGCAAGTGCGTAAAAGCGCGCAACCTGATCGGTTAGACACCAGCAAGTCCGGCAACATGCACGCACAGCAGTCTGATGAACGTAAGTGCATACTACTGCAGACAGCCTTTTCGTGGACGGAGGGAGAAGACAGCGGGTGCTACGCACGGATTCTGCTGGACAACGGGAGCCAGAGGACATTCATCCTCAAAAGATTGGCAAGAAAACTAGCGTGCAAGGTAAAAAGATCCGAAAGGATTACTGTAGGATCATTTGGAGGAGGAGAGATGGAACTAGACATGAAAGTCGTCGAGGTCAGCGTAAGGAAGGATCCCACATCGGAGCCAGTCACGATTGAGGCACTGGAGATAGAAGTTATATCTTGTGACGTCCTACCATCGCCACCGTTGACAATACACGAAAGAGCAAGATCGATGGGAATTTGTTTGGCTGATGGCAACGAGAAGACGGACAAAGAAAGAAAAAATATGGAAACCTCTATATTAATTGGAGCAGATTATTACTGGACTGTAGTCACTGGTCGCATTTGCGAGATTTATCCAAGAGTAATGGCAATAGAAACAATATTGGGATGGATGGTCCAAGGTCCTGTAAAACTTCATCGTGTGCCGATGAAATCATCGACGGTTATGGTACTCAAGGTCAGTGCCAAGTCGAACACGACTGCGGACGAACTGCAGAGATTCTGGGACTTGGAAAACATGGGCATCAAGGAGAAATTAGCAACAAAGTTTAGCGATGAACATGTGCTAGACTACGTCCGACAAACAATGGAGTTCAAGGCAGGAAGATACCAAGTGCGGCTACCATGGAAGGAAAACGTGACATTGGACGACAACAACACCATTGCAGAGAAGAGGCTTATCCAGGTGACCAAAAAATTATGCAAGGATAAAGATGTACTCCTAGCCTATGACAAAGCTATTCGAGAGTACTTTGAGCGAGAAATAGCAGAAAACGTCGAAGAAGATGCTGGATCCGATATACAGAACAAATTTGTATACTACATGCCGCATCAAGCAGTAATTAAGAAGGACCGAACAACGACGAAAATACAGATCGTCTTTGACGCATCGTCAAGCCAGAATCCAGGTGAATCTTTAAATGACAACTTGGAAAAGGGGCCAAACCTAAACCCCGACATCACAAGCTTGCTGATGAACTTTCGACATCACAAGATCGCTATGTCAGCCGACGTGGAAAAAGCATTCTTGCAGATCAAGATACATGAAAAT